CAGAGCTCAGTGAATCCCAAGTGGATTAAAGAAGAATTTCACACTTAAATTGGTGATTGTAGAACTGCAAATCACCATTGACAAAATTTAAGGAAAGAGATTAAGAATGACCACAAGAGTGATCAGCAACTTTTGTACAAAACAGAAGGCAGTGGGGATATCTTTAATATGCTGAAAGGGAATATGTGCCTCATAATTCTTTATACAAAAAAAAAGTCTTTATACAGCAGAGGTAGAAGGTAAAAATAAAGGCATTTGCAGAGAAGCCACAACTTAAGAATTGACTAAAAAAAATGTGAATGATGTCCTTGCGGAAGAAGGAACATGATTCCAGAAGAAAGGCGTGAAATGTGAAAAAGAATGATGTTCAAAGAAAATCATCAACATTTATATAAATTTAATAAAATATTGACTGGTATAAAACTAAAACAGTATATATTATATATATACAGGCACAAAATACATAAAGTAATCTTTGATAATGTACTACTCAGTGTAATATTCATGCTGTAATTTGAAAAAAAGGTTTAAGTTTTATATTTTTTTATGACTCAGGATTTAAGGTAATATTTCAATGGAATGCTTTATTAGAGAAAAAAAATCCCTGATCTGAGTATTGCAGCAGATCGTGTTCCCCTCTAGCCCATATCCATGCTTATGTATTTTTTTGCAGTTGTAATAATCTGTGAGCTGTAATCATTTGTGGTTAATACTACATACTTAATTTCTGTATGTCTTTAGTTGGGTATATTATTTCACATACAGGATAATCTGCAAAAGGGAGAGAGTAATATAAGTACTAATTCCCAACCCACAGAATTGCTTAACATACTTGCTTTTGTTATTGTGGTGGTTATGGTTTTTTTCACTTCATTTTGTGAAAGCATTTTCCATTTTGATGTTTTCGTATTTCATCAACCCTACCATGCACGTTGTTGCACATTGTAATTTCTCTGGAAACTGGGATACATACATCAATACAATATTTGATGTCATAGTTTAATAAACAGCAATTTTTTCTTTGATATAGTATACCCCTTTAGATTTTATAAAATATGGTGATGTATCTTTATAATTTTGAATGACTATGTCATACTTTACCTAGTGAGTGTCATGATTTCCCTTATTCCTTGTTTGTTTGGGTTGTTTCCATTTGTTGGCTCTTATAAATAATGCTACTATGTGAGAATATGAGATGCACCATTTTATACAGTCTCTGTTAAAGAATGAGTTTGCAGGCTGCCTGGGTGGTTCAGTCAGTTAAGCATCTACCTTGAGCTCAGCTCATGATCCTGGGGTCCTGGAATCAAGCCCCACATTGGGCTCCCTGCTCAGTGGAGTGCCTGTTTCTCCGTCTGCTCCTCCCTCCTACCCTGCTTGTGCTCTCTCTCTCTCTCTCTCAAATAAACTTTTTAAAACAATGAGTTTGCAAATTTTATGCTGATGTGGGCATTATTTTTAAGTGCTTTGCTAATCTAATAATTGTTAAGTGGTACTTTATTTTCCTACTTGCATGCATATATGTATTTTTTTCTAGAATTTTATTTTCCTAGTCTTTATGTTTTGGGGTTTTTTTTGTTGCAGTTTTATGTTATTCTGTAGTCATCAGTTTATCCTTTGTGATTAGTACCTGTTTCTTCATAGCCAACTTTCTATGAAATAATAGTTTACATTTAACTTTTAATTTCACCTTGTAATTATTTTGATATAATGCATTAGTGTTTGTGTTAGTATTCTTTTGAGACTGAGACAGTTGATTACATTCTGTTCAAAACCAACATATAAAAGGATTTTGGAGTATTATACTGAGTATTAATTGCTTTTCCGTTATTAATATAATTTAGTTCTTGGGGCGCCTGGGTGGCTCAATCGGTTGAGCATCTGCCTTCGGCTCAGGTCATGATCTTGGGGTCCTGGGATCAAGCCTTGTGTCAGCTCCCTGGTCAGCGGGGAGAGGCTGCTTTTCCCTCTCCCTCCACCCGCTCATGCTCGCTCTCTTTCTCTTTCTCTCTTGAACGCGCGCATTCTCTCATAAATCTTTGAAAAAAAATTTTTTTGGGCGCCTGGGTGGCTCAGACAGTTAAGCGTCTGCCTTCGGCTCGGGTCGTGATCCTGGGGTCCTGGGATCGACCCCACATAGGGCTCCCTGCTGAGCAAGGAGCCTTATTGTCCCTCTCCCTCTGCCTGCTGCTCCACCTGCTTGTACTCTCTCCCTGTCTAATAAAAAAATAAAATCTTTAAAAAAAATAAATAAAAATTAAAAAAAATTTTTTTTGTTCTTACCACAATTGATAGTTGTGAAAAATCGAGAGATAGGAGTTAGATTTTCCCACAATCATACAATTGTTAATATCAGGGGCACCTGAGTGGCTCAGTCAGTTACACGTCTGCCTTCAGCTCAGGTCATGATCCCAGGGTCCTGGGATCGAGCCCCGCATCGGGCTCCCTGCTCAGTGGGGAGCCTGCTTCTCCCTATCCCTCTGCTGTTCCTTCTGCTTGTGCTCTCTCGCTCTCTCTCTCTTTCTGTCAAATTAATAAATAAAATATTTTTTAAAAATTGTTAATGTCAGAGCTGGGTTTTGAATTCAGGTGTGATTGTAGAGCCTCAACCATTGTATGTTTAGGTAATAATTATTAACTACCTTGAAATAATTCTCTCTTGCTTTATTAAAGCCACATGCTACTCTGCATAACAATTCTATAAATGAGGGGTATTTCTAGTATTTGCCTCATTTGCTTTATCTTCTTCATGTACAAATCTTACTAAATGAATTTTTTTATTCTTTCATTGAATTTATCAAGATTCAGAAATTTGATTTCTCTTTCTGAAAACTGTAGTCTTTGTTAATTGCCATTTCCTTGGGTAGAGACATAACTGGTATTCTCAGAATTGAGGAAAGTGATGCAGGGTAAGTTTGTAAATACATTTTATTCTGTTGAAGTTCTTAATATACAGTTAAATGCTGTTCACTAACAGGAAGGCTAGGCTGTCACAAGCTCTTCACAGTTCTTTCCTGCCATTACGCTATATACTTAAATTACTAAATCAAAATCAGCTTAGCTCCAGAGGCAAGGTTCTGGGAGGGTATTGCCGTAGTAAAGGCAGAAAGGGGGTATATTATCTGTAGAGAATTTTTAAAACAATAATGAAATTGACTAAAAGGGCTATGCTTGTTATTATCCTATAGCTGACAATTCTAAACAGCGTCAACAATAAAATACTGCCCACTGCCCCCACCGTTTTAAGGCTCAGCCCTTGCTCCCAAGAGATGAATGAACCTTGACATGGAAAGGGACACTGTGGGGGCGCCTGGGTGGCTCAGTCGTTAAGTGTCTGCCTTTGGCTCAGGTCATGCTCCCAGGGTCCTGGGATTGATCCTCACATCGGGCTCCCTGCTCACTGGGAAGACTGTTTCTCCCTCTCACACTCTCCCTGCTTGTGTTGCCTCTCTCACGGTCTCTCTCTGTCAAATAAATAAATAAAATCTTTAAAGAAAAAAAAAAGGAAAAGGACACTGTGTTTGAGCTTTCTCCTTTTTCCCAGATTATGTTTCAGTTGATAAAAGGAAGCAATCAAAAAATATATGGCAAGTTGTAACAAGGAAACAATGTTTCATTGGTTCATACATGTAAGTCATGTTGGTCCTATTAATTGCACAGTATGGAAACTCAAAACTCATGTAAAATAATGGTTTATTAGATTAAAAGATTGCAGGGGAATTTCGTGGACATAATTAATTGCAGAAGTACAGTCAGGCCTCCCAAAAACCCTCTTCTCAGCAATTCTGCCTGGGAGCTCTGCGGTTCTGCCTACCCAGAGTCCTGCTCTGGTTGCCATCTTTAGTGTTGGTGATACCTTAAAGGCTTTTTTTTTTTTTTTTTAAACCACCCCATGAGCCCTCCAGGTAGACAGAATTTCTGACAAATTTAAATGATAAATTCAGTGTGTGCCAGTTATTTTTCATGAAAGCTGAATTCCCAGTATCTGCAGGTCATAAACTTCAATAATTACTTCTTTGCCCTTTGAATCTACCTTCTGGTGCCTGCCATCCAGGGGAGAGGCCTAAGGCTGAGAGGACAGTTAAAAGTAATGTTCTGGACACGGTGTAAACTTTTTGAAAGGTCATTAATGTACTTGAGAAGGATCAAGTCCGGTTGTTTGGTAGAATGAGGTAAAAGAAGTGTATTTGTGCCCTGCTTTCTTCCTCTCCTTTTACCTTTTGAATACTCTTCTCCACTCCCCACACCATGATCTGTTTCTGCTTTTCACCTCTACATGTTTGTGATTAAATGATGTATGCAGAAGATTACTTTAAATGTCAATTAGTTATGTTGTGGACATTAAGAATATACACTTTCAGGACAAATGGAAAAGCACAATCTAATATAAGGCATATTGCTGTTTTGTTGGGGTTTTTTTAAGATTTTATTTTTAAGTAATCTATACACCTAACATGAGGCTTGAACTCGTGACCCCAAGATCAAGAGTTGCATGCTCTATCTACCAACTGAGTCAGCAAGACACCCCAGATTGCTGTTTTTGACTTGGGAAAAATTTCCAGTGATAGAATCATTCAGACTCAAAGGTCTGTCACAGCATAGATGGCAATAAAAATATTCCCTGGAAAATCATTCTAGATAACTCAATTTGCTGTAAATACACAAAAAAATAATGCCAAACATCAGTGAATAGTTTGAATACATTTTATGACATTTGCAAGTATATTGGGGTAAAGCAGCATTTCTGTGTTAATTGTTTATAGAAATGTGTTTCTTATTGTATAGGTAGCTAAATTTTATACATGTACATTTCAAGTCTATCTCCTTAAAAAGGTTTTCAAGATGAGCCCAAAACTTTAAAATATTATTTAATATTTGTTATTAAATTACTTAATATTATTGGGGTTTTCTTCATGTTTAAAATAAAAGTCTGTTATCTAAATTTGTAATTTTAATGCACTGACTTTTAAAATTTACAAATAGATCGTTTGATTATTTAGCAGGTAACATCTAAAGGAACTGGTTTAAATCCTAATGCCAAAGTATGGCAAGAAATTCCTCCTGGAAATACTGAAGCCACTCAAGTAACTCATGGAACTGAAAGCTCTTGGCATGAAACAGCAGCCACATCAGGGTCTCATCCTGAGGGTATGTCCTAAATACTTCATCAGTACAAATCATATTTTGGTTAAACATATGGCCAAATTCATTTATAGAACTTTGGGGTATATCGTTTGATTATTTGATTAAATACATTTATAAATGTTTAACATGTAGTTTGTACACAGTTCTTTTAGTATGAATGGATTGTCACTAATTTCAAATAGTAGCTGTATCTTTGGGTCTAGCATCATTGGCAGTGCTGTTTACTCACTGTTTGACTTTGGGTAAATGACTTAACTTCTCTGTGCTTGTTTCTTTCATCTGTAAAACAATAATAATTACTTTTGGCATAGGATTTTCTGAGAATCAAGTGAATAAAGAAGCTGCACATAGGTAGTACATAGATAGTGCTATATGAGTTTAAACTATTGATAATCATTTTAGCTTGTCCATAATGGTAAACTTACCTTCCTCAGGAAGAGAACTCTTACTACAACCATGTGGACATTATTCCAATTGGTAGAATTCCTTAAAATCTTACTATAGAAGACCTAGTGCCCAGAGTTCCTAAAGATAGGATTTAAAGAATTCCTGTTTACTTTCAGTATGTTTTCTTTAATACAGGTAATACAGAGCTTTCAGATGATATGTGTAAGGAATATGAAGTAATGTATTCATCTTGTGAAACCACCAGAAATACTATAGGCATTGAAGAATCAACCGATGGAATGATTTTAGGGCCAGAAGATCTGAGTTACCACATATATGATGTTTCTGGTAAACTTTATGCTTTTATTGGTAAAACGAGCATATTGTACACTAATGTTTCTCCCCTTACATTCTATCATTGTTCTAATAAACCTTTGGCATTGATCAATCTGTTTTCTTATTTGAAAAGAACTGTATGTTAATGAAATGCTATGTTTTTATAAATACTGTTTTCAGGTGGACAAACATGAAACTTGTGATTTAAAAAGAATGTTTAAAGATCCTATTAAAAGAGAGTATGAAATTAAATATAAAAAAATAGTCAATATAGTTAAAAGAGACCTAAATTATAATTTTTCAGAGAGCCCAAATCTCTTGGTCTTTTAGTTGGGATCAATGCAAGTTCTGTCGATTTCCCTTTTTTTTTGTTAGTGTGAAATGCATTTATAAATGTGAAGTTGCAGGGATTAATTTTGAGAAAATGGCTGTATTAAAAACATGGTTCTACTACAGTTCAACTTGTGAAATATTTTTTTTCACATTTATTTCATTAGCATCAGTTAGTAGTTGGCTTGGATTTAAAATGGATGAGATTTAAAAGAAACTAAAAATGGACCAAAGACCCCAACCACCTAACTTAATTTTTCTGATTTAAAGGATCTCTTTGGAAAATAAATGTAATAGGGAATACTCTTTTCTGTTGCTGCTTAGTTCTGTTCTGTGACTTTCAGTCAAGATACATAAACCTTTGTCCTCAATTTCCTTATTTATTATAAATATTTGGACTAGATTTCTAAGTTTTGTCAGCTTGTAAGTTGATTTCTGAAGTGGCATGGGTGATATTTCCATATAATAATTTAAGGTGGCAGGTTCTTCTCCCTATTATGGTCATAATATACCTAACCACTGGGTACTGTAAACACAGAGTTGGTTTTAGTAATGTAGCAACCACTTGGTATTTTAATAAGTTTCCTGTAATGACATTGAAAAGTTAAATGAAGTTATTGCTCATTTTTAGGTAGCACATTTGGGTGGTTGGATTTTGTATTAGAATGATTACATATACATAGAAATAGAATGCTTCTTACATTCATTTTTAATGAAGTTAATATCTGCTATCACTTTGAATCTTGAGTACTCAGACAAGGTAGTGTTAAAATCATGCACAAAATTTATTTATCTTTATATACGTTCTGTCGTCTGTATTTAAAGGAAATTAGCCTACTTAATCACTAATGCTTTTTTTAAGAAGAGGGCAAATTTCATGCTTTGAGTCTGTAATGTTTTGTGTAAGATTCTAATAAAAGGGTGATGGTTTTCCAGGCTTGAGTTCCGAAAAAAAGTCTCGTGTTTTGAGTTTAAATAATTGAAGGCATAGAGGGTTGTTAGAGTTGATTTGATCCTTTGGATGTTTGAGTGTTTTAAATATTCCTAGGAAGATAAAGAGCTCTGTAATCAAGGAATGAAAAGAAAACAGTATTAAGAGATAACAGTTGAAGAAGTATGACTAACATCAGATTTAGTACCAATTATAAAGATATATATAATCCCAGTTTGTTTAGTTCCTTCAAATTTAGATTAACTATTACTTTTGTTCTTTGAGCTTTCATTAAAGGAATAAGTAGTTATCACAATTTTTTTTTTATTTTATAAAAGAGACACAGCGAGAGAGACACAGCGAGAGAAGGAACACAAGCAGGGGGAGTGGGAGAGGAAGAAGCAGACTTCCCTCAGAGCAGGGAGCCCGATGCGGGGCTTGATCCCAGAACCCTGGGATCATGACCTGAGCCGAAGGCAGACACTTAACGACTGAGCCACCCAGGCACCCCAGTAGTTATCACAATTTTAAAGATTTTAGGGTAGTGTTTTGCATAGGGTAGCCAGGTACCTTTAGTATTAATGGTGCTTTGTTCATTACTTGATAAAGTAATTTCAAACTGGGCACCTGGGTGGCTCAGATGGTTAAGTGTCTGCCTTCAGCTCAGGTCATGATCCCAGGGTTCTGGGATCGAGTCCCGCATTGGGCTCCCTGCTCAGTGGGGAGCCTGCTTCTCCCTCTGCCTCTCTATCTCTTACGGATAAATAAAATCTTTAAAAAAATTTTTTTTAAACTGTCTGAACTCTAAAGAAAGAATAGATAGTTTGAAATTAGACTTTGTTAGAATTCAGTTGAACTCTAAAAATAATAGTTTTGTTGTGAATTTTAATTTGTGCATACTTTGTGATGTATTCTGAGTACAACTATATGTAATGTTTACTACCTCTGGTAATTTGGTATTAACTTTTTCCCTCTGTTTTCTATCTTCAGGGGAAAGCAATTCAGCAATTTCTACAGAAGACCTAAAAGAATGTCTGAAGAAACAATTGGAATTCTGTTTCTCCAGGTATGTTATTCATATTTTTTTATTGAGATTTCTCATTTTTTGAATTGTTTGGTTAGTAGATGTGAAATACCTGTGAAATAGAGTGGAAGAATGGTGGTTTTAATTTCCTTCAGTGAACTAAATTTAAAGATGTAGCCTCTAATTGGATATGCAAAGGATCTAGTCTTAGTAGAAAGATAATGAAATACTGGATTGGATATTGGATACTTTTCCTATAAACATATTCAAGTTTAGGGTTCTCAAAACAGTGGTTATCTCTTAATATATCTTTTTAGTAGCTAGCTTGTGTAACCTTTGATCATGGAGTTATAGGCATAGAATTTATGTTACTAGTGTCTTCTATTAAATAAGGAGTTCTTTCAGGCAAATATTTCAAGATGTCTTTTTTTTTTTTTAAGGTTTTATTTATTTGTCAGAGAGAGCGCACGTGCACAAGCAGGGGGAGTGGCAGGTAGAGGGAGAAGCAACGCCCTGCTGAGCAGGGAGCCTGATGCAGGACTCAGTCCCAGGACCCTGGGATCATGACCTGAGCTGAAGGCAGATGCTTAACTGATTGAGCCACCCAGGTGTCCCTTTTTTTTTTTTTTTAAGATTTTATTTAGTTTATTTATTTTAGGGAGAGAGTACATGCGTGGGGCAAGGGGAAGGACAGAGGCGGAGGGAGGAAATCTCAAGCCAACTCTGTGCTGAGCACAAGCCTGACATGGGCCTCAATCTCCCAACTCAGATTATGACCTGAGCTAAAACTAGGAGTCAGACACTTAACCAGCTGAGGCACCCAGGTGCCTCTCAAGATGTCTTATTTACAGATAACAGTTATGTAGGTACATTTATAGTTTAGATGTCATAAAACTTCACTATTGTAAAACTGCCCCTTCCAAAATAAACAGAAGTTTGGATATGCATGCAAAGGTAATGCCTTCTATTTTTCTTATACGTGGTGAGAGGTAGGACCAGTAAACTGATTTTTCAAGCTAGAAACCTGGATTTTATTAGACTTCTTTATTTCTTTTTTATTTTATTTTATTTTTTTTAAAGATTTTATTTATTTATTTGACAGATACACAGCGAGAGAGGGAACGCAAGTGGGATGGGTGGGAGAGGGAGAAGCAGGCCTCCTGCCGAGCAGGAAGCCCAATGTGGGGCTCGATCCCAGGACCCCGGAACCATGACCTGAGCCCGAAGGCAGACACTTAACAACTGAGCCACCCAGACGCCCCTCTTTTTTTCTTTTTTTAATTTATTTACTTTTTAAGTAAGGTCCATGCCTAGCATAGGACTTGAACTCATGACCCTGAAATCAGGAATCATGTATTCTACTGACTGAGCCAACCAGGTGCCCCTAGACGTCTTTATTACTTTACACATAATATATTCTTGACTCAGGTTTAATTGATTCTTTATCCTAAATAGTTCCTCCTTTTTTCCCTCCTTTTTATTCTTTGCCTTTATAGTCTAGTACAGGATAAAATGATAAAAGCGGGACTTTCTGTCTGTCTTTAGGCATTTGTTCCTGCAATACAATTCATTTTCTGTAATATATTTGTAATAGTTATTTAAAAATCTTTGCCTACTAACTGGATCATTTGTGTGTCTGCTTATATTTGAGTTTTTTTCTCTCGGTTCTCTCATAATTTCTTGCCTTTTTTGAATGTCTTACAAATTTTGATTATATGCTGGACATTACATGTAAAAGCACCTAGGAGCTGCAAGTGCTAAGATCTTTCCCTCTAGAGAAGATTTAAACTCTCTTCTGGTGGGCAGAAGCAGATTGATTGCTTCAGTCCAGTCAGGAATTGAGCTGGGTTAGGACTGAGCAGCCACTTTAATTAGACTCAGTCTACCTCTGATTTATCTCTGTTCCTTAGGCGTGACCTTTTCAGTCTTGATTTGGAGGTTGTCTGTTTTCTGTTACTTCAATTCTGAAACACCAAGGGAGATTTAGTCCTTTTCTTGAGAGGTTTGAGATTAGCTCTTTAGTCTCTTACCCTGTAAGCTTCAAAATCTGGCAAATGTCTTGTGGGGGACACCTGTCTTGTGTTTGATGAGAGTTTCTTCCTTCCACTGGAACTTCAACAAAACCACAGAGATGTTACTCTGCCTTTTTAGCCTGGCTCCCAGTATCCCACCTTCCTCCTTAGAACTCAGGAAATGTTATTTGGGGGGAAATCTGCTGTATGTTAGGAGCTCCTTTAGTTTCCAATTCACAGTGCCAATCCTGTGCAATTGCCTAAAACTCTGCTGGTTTCCCCCTGGTCCCGTATCTATGGACCCCCTCAGGAAAGAAAGATCATCTTTCTGGAATTCCATTTTGTTCTTGTAGCTTCTTTCCTTCATCTCCAGAACGTGATTTTTGTAATTTAGCCACGCTTTTTTAGTTGTTGGAATAGGAGCACTGGTTTGTCATGATATACCACATCCTACTCAGAAGTCTGATACAGTTTAAACAAACTATGTGATTGATGCTTGTGGCTCAGCGAAATTGTTATTAGCACATATAAGGTATTAATCATGAATAGTCAAATCATAGATGTGAATAGATGTGATTTATATCCATTAATTTGACTTCTGATGAGATACGGTTTCTTTAAGAATTTAAAGAAGGTTGGGGCACCTGGGTGTGTCAGTTGGTTAAGCATCTGACTTCAGCTCAGGTCATGACCTCAGAATCATGGGATCAAGTCCCATGTTGGGCTCCATGCTGAGCATGGAGTCTGCTTCTCCCTCTCCCTCTGACCCTACCCCTGCTCATGCACGATCACACACATGCACGCTCTCTCACTCCCTCTCAAATAAATAAATAAAATCTTTAAAAAAAAGGTTTGGGGCGCCTGAGTGCTTCAGTTGTTAAGCACCTGCCTTCGGCTCAGGTCATGATCCCAGGGTCCTGGGATTGAGTCCCACGTCAGGCTTCCTGCTCAGTGGGGAGTCTGCTTCTCCCTCTACTCCTCCCCCGTACTCGTGATATCTCTCTCTCTCTCTCATGCTCTCTCTCTGTCCCAGATAAGTAAAATCTTTTTTTTTAATATTTATTTATTTGACAGAGAGGAGACAGTGAGAGAGGGAACACAAGCAGGGGGAGTGGGAGAGGGAGAAGCAGACTTCCCCAGAGCAGGGAGCCCGACGTGGGACTTGATCCCAGGACCCTGGGATCACGACCCAAGCCGAAGGCAGACGCTTAACAACTGAGCCACCCAGGTGCCCCGCAGATAAATAAAATCTTTAAGGAAAAAAAAAAAGTTTGACTAAGGTTTTATAAGAACAGACATGCTGCAAGTCAGAGTTGATTTAGGCTACAACTTTTTAGTTGTGTAAATATTATATGTACAGGGGCGCCTGGGTGGCTTAGTCAATTTAGCGTCCGACTCGATTTCAGCTCAGGTCATGATCTCAGGGTTGTGAGATTGAGCCCATGTTGGGGTCTGCTCTGGGCATAGAGTCTGCCTAGGATTCTGTCTTTTCCTCTCCCTCTACCCCTCCCTCTCTAATAAATAGCAAAAAAAGAATATCTTGATGAATATGTTATTACTATGTTCCTCCATTTATGCTAAAGTGAGTTTAACCTTTGCTGGTATCTTCTCTATTATTTTTTCCCCCCAAAACAACCTGTTGGCAATTTTAATTTTTAAAAAGTAATTACTACTTTATTTTAATAAAACTTGAATGTAGAGAGGCCTTTGGCCCTACCCTTTGCCAGGCACTAGGGCCTTGAAATACATTTTGAACAACAAAGATTCTTCATGGAACCTGTTTTTCTGGCTGGAGGAGACAAAAATAATTTTTTTAAAAAGCATAATAAACTCAGAAGTGTGCTAAGTGATAAGCACTGGAAAAAAATTTAGAACACTAATCAAGAGAAGGGGAATCAAGAGTGCTTGTGTGGTTTCAGTTTTAAATAGGGTCATTGAGAAAAAGGGGCTTTTAAGCAGACTTCCAGCTATTTATAACTAGACTGCTTCAAAGATCTGATGTGAATAAGACAACATGAGTATGATTTTACTTCAATTTGTTACATAAGATTTTATATGTAAGAAGCGTTTCTATCTTTTTAAGAAATGTATCTTTAAGAATCTTTTAATTTTAAATGTTTTAAATTTAGTTTTAAATTTATTAAATTTAAAAAATCAAACATACTTTAAAAATACAAACATTTAGAAATTTTATTTATTTATTTATTTTAAAGATTTTATTTATTTATTTGACAGAGACACAGCAAGAGAGGGAACACAAGCAAGGGTGGCGGGAGAGGGAGAAGCAGGCTTCCCACTGAGCAGGGAGCCTGATGCAGGGCTTGGTCCCAGGACCCCGGGATCATGACCCAAGCTGAAGGCAGGCGCTTAACGACTGAGCCACCCAGGCACCCCACAAACATTTAGGAATTTTATTTTTTTTATTTTTTTAACATTTAGGAATTTTAAATCCTTTACAGTTAAACTCATGGTTGAAGCTACAATTTTCCACATATGCATATTCTAACATCAGTGATAAAGTGTTTATAAGATGGAACTACACTGTATGTAATATTTTATTAAGCCTCTTTCCATATCAACATAATTCCATAAAGTTCCCTTGTTCAGAATTTTGGGCATGATGATGTATTTGGGGATTCAGAAACTTTTTGAAAGTTGTTAGAGTATATTTGTTGTGTATTACGTATTTTCATAGTTCACTGTGTTATTTCTGGTAGCATAATTTTAAGTGACAAGTGAATAAGACACTTGTTTAGGTGCTTTTTAAGAATTCTTTGTTTTATGGGACTCTTGTTTATTCCTTTCAGAGAAAATTTGTCAAAGGATCTTTACCTGATATCTCAAATGGACAGTGATCAGTTCATCCCAATTTGGACAGTTGCCAACATGGAAGAAATAAAAAAGCTGACCACAGACCCTGATCTAATTCTTGAAGTGTTGAGATGTATGTAAATCATACCTTTTAGCTATTTTTTTAAGTCAAAAAGCTAAATATTCTTTTGATTTCTGATCAGGGAATTTTTTGGTTTTGGCCATTTTATTTTTATTTTTTTAAATTGTAGTTGACATATAATGTATTTTTTCAAGTATACAACATAGTGATTCCACAATTCTCTACATTAAGCTGTGCTCATCAGGCAGGGAATTGTTAACTCCCTATTTTTTGTTATTCTGTTCCAATAATTTATCTTTGTTTTTACTGACTTGGTATATAGCTTCTATATCACTTCTGTACCTTGGTTGTTCATCACCCACTTACTTCAAGTATAAGCAATTTTTTGTTTTCTAGGCTATTAGAAAGTTGTATGTATCATTATCACATCTTCTAAAGCATTGTTTCAAACTTTTGAACCAAGTATGAAGTACATTTTACGTTATGGCCCAATACATACACCACATACCCACACACAACTGAAATGTTAATTACTCAGATTAATACTAAATGCTTGGAATTAACTCTTTTTTCCCCCCTAAATTGATTTCACAACCTGTTAAAGAATTGCAGTCTGTAGTTTGACAAATACTACTCTAAAGTTTAGTAAAGAATTTGAGGTTCTAAGCATTTTTAATGGTCTTTATGTCTTATATCAGTATTTCTTGCTAACCTTTCTTAGCAAAACCTTACCAAAGTTTTTAACTACTTGACTGAATAAAGGCAGCTCTTCATTTTTATATGAAATGTGTTGTTGAAAATGTTTAAAAGTTAAATATACCAAGTACAATAATAGGCTTATATGAGAGTAGATTTCCATTCTCAGAGGGCTAAAAACATTTATGAAATCTCTGATTGGTTTGTGCAGTGGTTTCTTAAAACAACCCAGTCTTGTAATCAGAAAAAAAATCAGCCAAGACACCAGCAGAATCCTCCACTGAGGGCTAGAACCTAGTACTTAAACCCAACTCTTCTTCCCTGTTTCTTTTATTCTCACTACTTAACCTGTTCAGAGAGGTGTGGCATATTATCTCTCTGAAGGGACTAGGAATAAAAGTTTTGGTTAGATGGTACTATCTTCATTAAATATTTCCTCAAAATCAGCATCTAGAAGATGGCCTCTCAGTGTCTGTAAATAGTATGGAAGAATAAATATGTTAAAATCAAGGGAAAGTTATAATCATTTGAGTTTAATTCTTGGTTTAAGTGCTTAGACTTGAATTTTAAGAATTTCTTCGCATGTCAGAATGCAATACTGTCATCCAGTTACAAGAGTGGAATGCAAGTACACTGATTTTTATTATCTCCAGAAATCCAGAATTCAGTAATTATACACAGGATAATTTTACCTTGTTAGATACGTATTGTATACTCTTGAAAGTTTTTCAACCCCAACACAGTGCCAAGATACAAAGTAGGTACTCTGTATATTTGTTCAAAGAATAACACTTGACAATGTTTCTTGTATATTAATCTCAAAATATTTTGTTACAACTGTAATCTTTCGTTCTACAATTTAATTTCTCTGCTAATTTATTCACTTGGAAATAGAAATGAATAGTTTTTAATGGCAATATTAATATCTCTCCTTGTCACTTTTGAATGAAACACTTTTTTAAATTTCAGCGTCTCCTATGGTACAAGTTGATGAGAAGGGTGAGAAAGTGAGACCAAGTCATAAGCGTTGTATTGTGATTCTTAGAGAGATTCCTGAAACGACACCTATAGAGGTAAATTATTAAGCATTGTTAAAGCTAAGTGTTTTTTTTTAATTTTACTTTATTATGTTAATCACCATACATTACATCATTAGTTTTTGATGTCGTGTTCCATGATTCATTGTTGGCGTATATCATCCAGTGCTCCATTCAGTACGTGCCCTCTTTAACACCCATCACCAGGCTAACCCATCCCCCCACCCCCTCCCCTCTAGAGCCCTCAGTTTGTTTCTCAGAGTCCATAGTCTCATAGTCCAATCGTCTCCCCCTCCAATTTCACCCCCCTCATTTTTCCCTTCCTGCTTTTTTTTTTTTTAACATATAATGTATTATTTGTTTCAGAGGTACAGGTCTGTGATTCAACAGTCTTGCACAATTCATAGCACTCACCATAGCACATACCCTCCCCAATGTCTATCACCCAGCCACCCCATCCCTCCCACCTCCCACCACTCCAGCAGCCCTCAGTTTGTTTCCTGAGATTAAGAATTCCTCATATCAGTGAGGTCATATGATACATGTCTTTCTCTGATTGACTTATTTCGCTCATCATAATACCCTCCGGTTCCATCCACGTCATTGCAAATGGCAAGATTTCATTCCTTTTGATGGCTGCATAATATTCCATTGTATATATATACCACATCTTCTTTATCCATTCATCTGTCAATGGACATCTTGGCTCTTTCCATAGTTTGGCTATTGTGGACATTGCTGGTATAAACATCAGGGTTCACGTACCCCTTCAGATCCCTACATTTGTATCTTTGGGGTAAATACCCAGTAGTGCAATTGCTGGGTCGTATGGTAGCTCTATTTTCAACTTTTTGAGGAACCTCCATACTGTTTTCCAGAGTGGCTGCACCAGCTTGCATTCCCACCAACAATGTAGGAGGGTTCCCCTTTCTGTTTTAGCCATTCTGACTGGTGTGAGGTGGTATCTCATTAAGCTAAGTGTTCTTTAACTGTTTAAATTGAAGGTAAACAAAGTATAAGTCAGTGCCCTCATATCAATTATGTGAATAGGTTAAATTTTGTAAATTCTGAAACACTGGAAGAATGGTACAGAGGGAGGAGGAAGATATAATTCCATGTTCTTAGAATGGTAGACTGAGTATTGCAGTGTTACTAGTTCTCAATTTATTGATTTGACTGGCAGTTAAAATATAAATAGGCTCTTTTGGGAACTTGAGGATTAATCTGAAAGAATAAACTTAGGAATGAGGAAGAAAAATAAGATTCGAGGCTAATTCTACTCTCTAGCAAATATAAAGCAGAGTTGCAGTCATAAAGATGGTTTGGTACAGGTAAAGGAATAAAATAGTATTTGAATGAAACAATATAATCCTGGAATAGACCCTTTTATATAGTAATGTATCTGTGATAACATTTATTTAGTAATTAGGTTCTACCAAGTATTGTGCTGTGTACTTTATGGTAATTTAAAGCCTAAGGTTTTGTTATCTCTGTTTTACAGATAAGTAACTGAGCCTTAGTATGGTTAAATAACTTGCCTAAAGACACATGGGCTGTTTAAATGACCGAATCTGATTTGAACTCGCTCTCTCTGATTCCAAAACCCATGTTTCTTAACCAGTAAACCACAGGACTTCACACTAAGTTGCCATGTTAATGATAATAAGTTAAAGATGGGGAGGATTAATTAGTAACTGATATATGGTAATTGGTTAGCCATTTAAAAAAGAATTTTTAGACTCTTGCCACCTAACAAATGTAGCACATTAGTAGTTAATCTTTTTGCCCAGATTCATTCAGTATTAACTCTCTAGAATGAAGATTTCCTAAACTTAGAAACAGAGAAATTAGAAAAGAAACTGTCATTAGATAGATCTTCTTAAAAATTATGAACTATATGTCAAAAGTAACAAATTGAAAGGAAAATTGCAGAATGGGAAGAATATTTGCATTATTAATAAACAGTGTAGAATATATGAGCCTGCACTCTAGAGCCAAGCTGCCTGGATTTAAATTCCAACTTTTTACTTCATAGCTCTATGACCTTGCATAAGTTACTTAACCTCTTTTGCTTTGTTTTTTTTCCATCTGTTAAATGGGATAATAGTAATAAGTAACTCATAAAATTGTGAGAAATAAATGAGTTAGTATATAAAGAACTTAGAGCAGTACTTGGCATGTAAAACAAATCTAATATTAGCCAATATTATCATTTTTATAATTATTGTAATTTATATTCTGAATACATAGGTCACACACGAAAAGCAATAAATAAAAAGGAACAAGGCAGCAACATACTGTTCATTAAAAAAAAAGTAAAAGAAGTGCAGATGACTAAGATAGCCAGAGAAAGTCAGCCTAGGCAGTAATCACTGAAATTCAAATTAACATAAGGGATTTGGGGGGGTGACTTTAAAGGTGCCTGTCAGGTGGAACAAATTACTTTAGATCCAGACTTCTTTTTTTATACTTGGGAAAGTAAATCTATGAACATAATTCTTCATAAATAATAATAAAGGCTGAAAATAAAAAGATTTAAATAAATGAATCAATTCATTATACATTTAAGAGAATTAGAAATATTTGGAGAATATATGGATTTTTGAAGGTAGAGATCAGTGGGTGGCAGTCTAACAGTTCCACAGATAGTTCTATGATTATGGAAATGTAATTCTGGACTGGATGAGAATTTTATTAACTGAACTTGGTGATACTTCACCACTTTCACAAATGTCACAAAACTCAGCTGGTTGCACACTATTTATTTTGAGTAGTATTTGACCCAAGCAAATTTCATCATAAGTAGAGATGTAATTTTTTTTAATTCAGTGTAGCAAAAATTTGAGGGAAATAGAATACAGGTTAGACTTCAGTGTTACCATGTTGATTGTCCCATCAGCTTAGTAATTGCCTTTTTAAAAATGGATACCTTGTGATATTTTGGTATTTTGTGGGCACTTTAACCTAATAAGATTCTTCAGTATTTAGGAATTAATGGTTATTATTGAATTTCTCCTTGAACTCAGGTAGGTATTAGACAAAATGGAGTTTGGAGGCATACAAATCTGGATTTGAGTTCTTTGTGATAGCGTGAGTAGGTTAAACAGTTTGAGCTACCATTTCCTCAGCTGTAAAATGGATATGATAAAATCTCTAAAACAGGGTTGTTTTCAGGTTAAATCTGTGTCTCACCCTGCATGGGATTACAGTAAATGTTTCCTTTCTCTCTGTAACCGTTTAGAGATAGTTAATGTTGACTTCCAGTTGTTTTCTTTCTTTTCTTTTTATAAATTTCTACACAGTTCTGAGTTTTGGTAATCATCTTTTTTGAAATGCATATATTTGTTTTAGGTTTCAGTTATTGAAATTTCAGTTTCGATTATGGAAAAGCGAAACTATCTTTGCACAGAGTTCATATCTGTGACTCTGATGTAGACAGAGCATCTGGATTGAATGAGAATGCATGAAAATAAATACTAAGCACTAGAAAATGTTAATGGAGGACATACTTTTCCTTTTTTGGATAATGGCAGGTCTAGAGAGATTTTACTGTTAAGGAAAATTTAGCTTGCCACTAAGAGTGAAATGCTTCAGTTTTGCTGATATTAAAATAAGATTCTATCTATAAATCATATTCGAAATTTACACTAAAGTTTTTCTTTTTTAGGAAGTTAAAGCTTTGTTCAAGAATGAAAACTGCCCCAAGGTGATAAGCTGTGAGTTTGCACACAATAGCAACTGGTATATCACTTTCCAGTCAGACACAGATGCACAACAGGTGAGAAAAACTTTTCTTCTGATTTGAAGTCCTGGTGATAAAAGAAGTAGGAGAAAATATGTGCTCACAGCAATATTTGTAAAAACTGCTGAGCTATTGAGCACCTAGTTCACCTTTTTGGTTGTGCTTCTTAATTGGTTTCCTTTTTGATCATTTTCCTAAAGCTTTTTCAATTTCAATTTAAGAAGTTTGTTTCCTATCAATAAAAAAATTAACACACAATTTTAGAATTAATTTAAAGATTGGAAACCACATACTCAGTAGTTGGTATTTCTAGTATATACATACTAGGCCCACAATAAATATATAACTTCCTTTCTGATTCTTGGAATTTTGACATTAATGATTTTACTCTTGTTGTCATGTCCAACTTAAAGAGAAATAATCCATTGAAACATAAAAACAAAAAATACAGCATTTTAAAACCACTCACTGATTTTTTTTTTTAAGATTTTATTTATTTATTTGACAGAGATAGCGAGAGCAGGAACACAAGCAGGGGGAATGGGAGAGGGAGAGGCAGGCTTCCCGCTGAGCAGGGAGCCTGATGTGGGGCTCGATCCCAGGACCCTGGGATCATAACTTGAGCCAAAGGCAGACACGTAATGACTGAGCCACCCAGGAGCCCCGATTGATTAATTTTTAAAGTAAACTCTACCCCCAGTGTGGGGCTCGAAGTTATGACCCTGAGATCAAGAGTTGCATAGTCCCATCAACTGAGCCAGCCAGGCACCCCACTGATTTTTTTTTTTTTTTTTTAATTCTTCATCTTAGAAGACTGTAAATATGTAGAGAAATTTGGGCTCTGTTTTTTGTGCATTTTTTTTTTCCTGCATTAATCTATAGTAAATGTGAACTTCAACTGGAGTGTTTTTAGTTTTTTATTCCTTATCACCTGCATAATGGAGTTGACTTCAGAATTTTTTATTGTTTAGCTTGGAGATGGTTGCTAATACCAAACTCTTGATAGAATAAAGATTACTTTAGTGAAATGTTTGAATGCTAATAAAAGTTCCTTTCTGCTTTGTTAACAGGCTTTTAAATACTTAAGAGAAGAAGTTAAAACATTTCAGGGCAAGCCAATCATGGTAAGAAAATGTTTGTAAGTGAGCTAGTGTGAACCAGAAAATTTTTGTTGCTTGTCTATTTGAGAATTTAAAACACGTCTGGATAATATTTTATAAAACCTGTAATGATTTTAAAGAAATTTCATATAATGTGCTAGAAAATTAGTTAAGGTAGCAATTCTTTTTTAAAGGCCTACCTTTAGACAGCATGAAGTTTTAGTTAGATGCTGATTGACAATTTGTAAGATACTCAAAATGAGGAGCGGGAATAATTTTTTATTTTTTTATTTTTTTTTAAAGATTTTATTTATTTATTTATTTGAGAGAGAGAGAATGAGAGACAGAGAGCACGAGAGGGAAGAGGGTCAGAGGGAGAAGCAGACTTCCTGCTGAGCAGGGAGCCCGATGTGGGACTCGATCCTGGGACTCCAGGATCATGACCTGAGCCGAAGGCAGTCGCTCAACCAACTGAGCCACCCAGGCGCCCGGGAATAATTTTTTAGTAACAAAGGTGGAAAACATTCTCAATACTGTCATCCTCATCTCAAAATTAATTGCATTACCACATTTATGTTCACCTGTTTGGGCATCTGGGAATTATCATTGATGACACTTGCTCACTATCTTTACAGGTCTTATCTTTTCTCAGATCCCATGGAATCTACCTTTAAAACTTGTTTCAATTATTACTGCTATTGTTTAGGCTTGAACAATTAGAGTAACCTTTTAATTGTTATGCCTTAAGCTTTCCCCCCACTTTTCATTCTCCAGTTGCTACCAGAGCTACCATCTAAAATAGAATCCTAGGGTACCTGGGTGGCTCAGTTGTTCTAAGCATCCAGTTCTTGTCAGTGTTTGCTTTATATGTCTTCAGACTCTGATGGCAGATACATATATTTATATTCTATCTTTTTGCTGGATTGAACCTTTTATTAGTGTACAATGTCCTTTGTTTCTTGTAACCTTTTGTAACTTAAAAGTCTGTTTTGCCTAATAATAAAAAGTCAATTGACTCTTGAACAGCAAGAGGCATGGCGGTGTTGACCTGTCCTTTCCCAGGCAGTTGAAAATCCATGTATAACTTTTTCCTTTTAAGATTTTATTTATGTATTAGAGAGCGAGCTCAAGCAGGGAGCAGCAGAGGGAGAAGAAGCAGGCTGTCTGCTGAGCAGGGAGCCTGAGGTGAGGCCCAAACCCAGGACCCTGGGATCATGACCTGAGCCAAAGGCAGACAGTTTAACCAACTGACCCACTCAGGCACCTCCACATAAACTTTTGACTCCCAAAAATTTAGAACTAATAGCCTACTCTTTTTTTGTTTTTTTTTCTTTTTTTTTTTAAGATTTTATTTATTTATTTGAGAGAGAATGAAAGAGAGAGCACAAGAAGGGGGAGGGTCAGAGGGAGAAGCAGACTCCCCGCCGAGCAGGGAGCCTGATGGGGGGCTCGATCCCGGGACTCCAGGATCATGACCTGAGCCGAAGGCAGTCGCTTAACCAACTGAGCCACCCAGGCGCCCCTAATAGCCTAGTCTTGATGGGAAGCCTTACCAATAACAGAAACAGTCGATTAACAAATGTATGTTACATATTGTGTGTATTGTATACTGCATTCTTAGAATAAAGTAAACTAAAGAAAAGAAAGTGTTATTAAAATAAAGGAAGATGCCTTAGAGTCTCAGTTGGTTAAGCATCCACCTCTTGATTTCACTTCAGGTCAGGCTCTGTGCTCAGCAAGGAGTCTGCTTGAGATTCTCTTTCTCCCTCTACCCCTCCCCCAGTTCATGTGCAGGCATGGATTTACGCTCTCTAAAATAAATGAACAAAAATCTTGGGGCGCCTGGGTGGCTCATTTGGGTAAGCATCTGCCTTCGGCTCAGGTCCTAATCCCAGGGTCCTGGGATTGAGCCCTGCATCGTACTCCTTTCTCCATGGGGAGTCTGCTTCTCCCTCTCCCTCTGCCTGCTGTTCCCCCTGCTTGTGCTTTCTTTCTCTCTGTCATATAAATAAATAAAATCTTCAAAAAAAGTCTTCAAAAAATACATAAATAAAAATCTTTAAAAAATAAAAGAAAATACATTTACAGTACTGTACTGTATTTATTGAAAACATCTGCCTATAAGTAGACACATGCTGTTCAAACCTGTGTTGTTGAAAGGGTCAACTGTATAGCCGTCTTAGATGTATTTTGGTTGCTATTTGCTTGGAATGTCCTTTTCCATCCTGTTACTTTCAGTGTCTTTGAATTTAAAATGAATCTGTTATAGATAGCATATAGATGGATCCTGTTTTTTTAATTCAATCTGCCAGTCTCTGCCTTTGAATAGGAGAGTTTAATTCATTTACATTAAAATAATTACTGTTAAGGAAAGATACTTCTTCCACTTTTGGTATTTTCTGTATGTCTTTCATGGGTTTTCTTTCTTCCCCTCAATTTTTCTTTTTTTTTTTCTTTAAGATTATTTGGGAGAGAGAGAGAGAGCACGAGCAGGGGGAGGGGAGGCAGAGGGAGAGGGAGAAGCAGACTCTCTGCTGAGTAGGGAGCACAACGCAGGGATCATGATCTGAGATGAAGACCTGAGCTGAAGGCAGACGCTTAAAGACTGTGCCACCCAAGTGCCCCCCCCCAATTTTTTCTTTTGTTGCCTTTTTGATTTCCAATTTTGATTTCCTTCTTTCCTGTTTCATATGTTTTTTTTTTTTTAAAGATTTTATTTATTTAATTGGCAGAGAGAGACAGAGAGAGAGGGAACACAAGCGGGGGGAGTGGGAGAGGGAGAAGCAGGCTTCCTGCCGAGCAGGGAGCCCGATGCGGGGCTCGATTCCAGGACCCTGGGACCATGACCGGAGCTGAAGGCAGTTGCTTAACCAACTGAGCCACCCAGGCGCCCCTCCATATGTTTTTAAATATATAAAGTGTGTGTGTGTGTATGGTTGTCTTGGTGAGGATTAAATTTATAACAACCTCATGTGAATAATACCAGCTTAGTTCCAATAGTATACAAATACTCTGCTTCTATACTTCTCTGTTTTATTAATTTCTCTTTTAAATCTGATAAGAAAAAAGAGGAATTGTATACCAAACGTATAATAATATTTTCTTTTGTATTTACCTATGTAATTATCCTTATCAGTGTTCTTTATTTCTTCTTAAGGCTTTTAGTTACTCTCTGCTATCTTTATTTCACCCTGAATAACTCCCAGTAATATTTCTCATAGGATAGGCCTATTGATTTCCTTTACATTGTTTTGTTCATATGTCTTTTTCCTGATTACTCTTAGGTTTGTCCATGGTTTCCATTAGCTCATTAAGCATATTTAAGATAGTTGATTTAACATCTTTGACCAGTAATTCCAATGTCTGGGCTTACTTAGGATGGTTTCTATCAAATTCTGTTCTTCCTGTGAATGGGCCATAGTTCTCTATTTCTCTGTGTGTTTTGTAATTTTTTGGTAGTACATTCTTTTTTATTGCCAAATAGTAGAAATGTACTTAGTTCGATTATCTAGTCACTTTGTGAATCTTCTTTCTATTTAAAAAAAACTTGTTGGTCTTATTATTGAATTATAAGAGTTCTTTATATATTCTGGGTAAAAGTTCTTTGTCAGGTATGTTTGTATTTCAAATCTATTTCCCCTAGCCGGTGATTTGCCGTCTTATTTTCTTAACAGTGCATATTTGAAGAGCAGAAGTTTTAGAGGTTTTTGTTATTGTTGTTTTTAAAGGAAATGTAGCTGATGTACAATATTATATTAGTTTCAGGTGTCCTACATAGTGATTCAACATTTATATACATAGGAATTGATTACCATCATAAATCTAGCTACCTTACATCACCATACAAAGTTGTTACAATATTATTAACTATATTCTCAATGGATACATTACATCCCCACCACTTATTTTGTAACTGGAAATTTGAACCTTTTAATTTTCCCATTTTGTCCATCCTTCCACCCAGTCCTCCCCACCCCTTGGCAACCACCAGATTTTTCTCTGACTACATGAGTTTGTTTCTGTTTCGTTTGTATTGTTTTTTAGATTCCGCGTGTAAGTGAAATCAACCAGTGTTTGTTTTTTCCTGTCTGACTTATTTCACTTAGCATAATATCGACGTTGTGGCAAATGGCAAGATTTTGTTCTTTTTTATAGCTGATACTCGTGTCTCTGTGTGTGTGTGTGTGTGTGTGTGTGTGTGTGTGTGTGTGTACCACATCATCTTTATCCAGTCATCTATCGATGGACACTTAAGTTGCTTTCATATCTTGGCTGTTCTAAGTAAGGCTACAGTGGACATAGGGATGTGTGTGTTTTTTCAAGTTAGCATTTTTGTTTTCTTTGAATAAGTACCCAGAAATGGAATTGCTGGATCATGGTAGATGTATTTTTAATTTTTTGATACTTTTTTTCATACTTTTTTTAGAATTTATTTATTTATTTGTCAGAGAGAGAAAGCACAAGCAGGGGGAGTGGCAGGCAGAGGGAGAAGCAGGCTCTCCACTGAGCAGGGAGCCTGATGCGAAACTCAATCCCAGGACCCTGGGATCATGACCTCAGCCGAAAGCAGTTGCTTAACTGACTGAGCCACCCAGATGTCCCGAGAAACCTTCATATTTTTTCCATAGTGGCTGCATCATTTTGCATTCCCACCAGCAGTACACAGAGGGTGCCCTTTTTCCCATATTCTCACCAACATTTGTTACTTCCTTTTTTTTTTTTTTTTTTTTAAATAAAGCCTGGTGACAAGTGTGAGGAGATACCTCATTGTGATTTTGATTTGCATTTCCCTGATAGTTAGTGATGTTGAGCATCTTTTCATGTGTCTTTTGGCCATCTTCTCCAAAGAAGATTTCTTCTTTGGAGAAATGTCTCTTCAGGTCCTCTGCCAGTGTTTTAAATTGGATTGTTTGGGTTTTAAGTTGTGTGAGTTATTTATATAATTTGGATATTAATCCCTTATCATTTTTATCATTTGCAGATACCTTCTCCCATTCAGTAGGTTGCCTTTCCATTTGGTTGAT